GGCTACACAGTGATTGACAGCTCTCTATCAGATACTTATACGGCGTCTCTGAGTCACTCCTCAGTCCTAATATGGTCACTTCCTGTTCACTGGTTGCAAAAAGCCAAGATGGCGACGGCCAAATCGCTGAACTTGAGGCTTCAAAACGGCGGTCCACAAACCAATAAGAGTCTACTTCTTATGTACAGTCTGTGTATTTTACTTCATCACTGTACCAAAAGGTATGTATGAGGGAGTCACTCTGGGGGCCACATTTTCAACATTTATCTAAGGAGCTGGTGTCAAACTTATGAAATATGTCTCTACTTTAGTATTTTCTTGATATTCATTTATACTGAATTCAATTTGTGTTAATTTTAAATGTGAGTTGTAAACATTCCTTCTATTTCTTCTTTGCATCTACCGTACCAAGATCTGTCTTCCATCTGTTGTAGATGTTTAGTAGCAGTTCTTCATGGCTCTCAGCTTTGATAATAATGTTGTAAACAGCACTCACTGATTGTATTGCTGCTGTCTGCCAATCTGATTCATTATGAGTGGAATAAATTGGAGTAATGTCAATTACTTTAAATGAACGGTAAATGATTCATTATTAAAGATAATCAATGGTATTGAGACAAAACTGCTTTGCAGAGTCTTGTTTCAGGCTTTGAAAGAAACAAAATCAGTAATTTACTTGACTTACATAAAAAATAATGACAAAAGTAAAAGGTTCTGTCAAAACTTCTCACTTTGGTCTGTACCCAGGGGAAATCTTTAAGGAGAGGAAGACATCTTGACCCTCAGGTATTGGCTTCATGCGTGCTGAGAGGGGCTGATGGATTTTAGGGGTTTTCTCAAGAACAGCCATAAGCTGGCAGATGTCACGCTGTTCTCCTTTTATACAAAATCATTTTCATAACAGCAGGAACAAGGACAGAGAGTTCTGTCCCCCTCCCAACAGAAACACAATGCCACACACACACACACACACACACACACACACACACACACACACACAC